CTAAGTCATCTGCAAATGCTCTCAATTTGTACTGTTTAGCTCCGAATTGTATACCTTTAACCAATTGGTCCCTTCAAATCATATTCAGCAGGACCTCCAGGACCGATATAAAAAGCAATGGGGAGATTGGGCAACCTTGTCGTGTTCCTTTTTCTATCTTAAATTCCTCCGTCACCACGTTATTTACAATTAATTTAGCCTTTTGTTCTGAATAAATTGCACTCATACCGCTTTCAAAGCCTTGGCCTACCCCCATCCCCTGTAGGTTCTTTTTCACGAAACTCCAAGAAATGTTGTCAAAAGCTTTCTCCGCGTCCACAAATATCAAAACTGCCTTAGTATTTATATTCACTTGTAATTTTTCTAAAATATTGATTATGTTTCTCACATTATCAGACAAATGTCTACCCAGGAGAAAGCCTGCTTGATCTTTATGTATCTCTTCCACTAGCACTTTTTTTAGTCTTTTAGCCAAAATGTCTGCAAAAATTTTATAATCCACATTGAGCAGTGATGTGGGGCGCTAGTTCTTAAGCTGTGTCTTTTCAATCTCTGTTTTCGGTACAAGTGTAATATACGCTTCTTTCCACGACTCTGGTGCCCCTTTCCCCTCCATTATTTCGTTGCAGACTTCCTTTAAAGGTTGTACTAACCATTCTTTTAAGGATCTGTAGTATCTAGAAGTCAGTCCATCCGGTCCTGGAGATTTACCTAATTGCATATTCTGAATGGCACCTTCTACCTCCTGTTCAGTTATTTTATAGTTCAGCATTAATTTATTTTCTTGAGAGATTTTTTGTAATCCATTTCTTTTCAAAAATTGGTCTACATCAATTTCTTTCTGTGGCCCTTGTGTATATAGTTGTTTAAAATACCTCTGGAAACAGTTTCTAATCTCAACTGGGTTCTGTATGTTCCTTCCTTCCACTTCTAAATTTGCAACAGTATTTAGTTTTTGTCTTTTTTTCATTTGCCAAGCCAACAATTTCCCACATTTATTAGCCGACTCGAATGTCTTTTCTCTCATTTGTTTGATTTTCCATTCTATCTCCTGATTCATCATTTTCATGTATTGTACTTGATGTAACTTTATTTCTCTCAAAATCTCTTGCGACTTTGGTTTTGCTCTCAATTTCTTTTGACTTTCCTTTATTTTCTCCAATATTTTATCCTTCTTCTCATTTTGGATTCTCTTCTTTATTGCATTCTGTTGTATCAAGAACCCTCTCATCACAGCTTTGCTTGCGTCCCAGATTACTCTTTTTTCAACATTGGTGTTCATATTTATCTCGAAATAGTCTCTCAAGGTTTTTTGGGCCTTCTTAGTCACTTCTTCGTCTCTAAATAAGGTGTCATTCATCCTCCATCTGAAGGAACCAGTTGGTGTTAGTTTCATCTCCATCTTCACAGCATTATGGTCGGAGCAGGTTTTTGGGCAAATTTCCACTTTTCTTGTCTTTGGTGCCATTCCTCTAGTTACCCATATTTGGTCAATTCTTGTCCATGTCAGTTTGGCTTCAGAGAAGAAGGTTCCCTCTCTAGCCAAGGGATTATTTGTTCTCCAAATATCAACTAAGTCCAAGTTGTCTGTCATCTCAAAAAGGGTTTTCGGTAGTCTGCCGTCCTTAGTGACTACCTGTCTTTGTGCCTTGTCCATATGTGTAGATACCACTCCGTTCATATCTCCCATCAAAATCACATTATAGTCCAAATAGTCCATCAAGGTCTCATGCAACTTTTTAAAGAATTCAGATTCCCCTCATTTGGTGCGTAAACTCCTACTATTAAGAATTTCTCTCCTTGTATTTGAATTTCAATTGCCACAAATCTTCCTTGGTCATCTTTGAAGATAAATTTCGGTAATAGTCTCTCCTTTGCATAAATCACTACTCCTCTTTTTTTAACTTTATCCAATGAAATAAACTCCTGGCCCAGTCTTTTATTGATCAAGACTTTCCTGTGTAGCCTTGTCACATGTGTTTCCTGTAAACAAATCAAGTCCAATTGTTCCTTTTTTAATAAATGAAACACAGTTTTCCTTTTCTGAGGGAGTTGAGACCATTACAATTCCAACTTAATAGTTGCAGAGCCATGATGTAGTTACTTTACTTCTCCTCCAACTGCACCAAGTGCCTGTTCCTGCTCTGTCGGTGGTATCACCTTCTCCAGGCAGTCTTTTAATTCAAAAGGTAGTTTTGCTATGTTTAAAATTCCTCTTTCTAGTACTCTTAACTCTTCTCCAGCTTCTTTCTGCAGGTCTTCTCCGTGGTCTCTCAAAAATCTTTCTTTGTCGTCCACTGATCTTATTTTTATCTTTCTTCCTTTGAAGCTAAAGGATAGGCCTTGGGGGAATTCCCATCTAAAGATGATTCTGTTGCTTCTCAGCAGGGCAACCAAATCTCTATAGTTGGACCTAAGGTCCAAAAGATATTTCGGAATGTCTTTAAATATCTCCACTTTTGATTGATGTATTTCCAAAGTCTTCTGGAAGTGCAGACTCAAGATTTTGTCTCTCTCCTCTTTTGTTCGGAGGGTAATCAAACAGTCTCTCACCCTGTTCTTCTTCCCTCCTCTTCCAAGCCTGAAAGCACTCACTATCTTAAAGTTTTCCTTCTCCAAATCTGGGTTCCAAAAGTCTACAAAGCCACTTCCGGCTTGCCCAGGAGGTGGGGTTGCGGGCTTCACGCCCACCCCACGTGAGCGGGGGCTGGTTTCAGCCCCCGCGAGAACAGGGGAATCCCGGCCGGGTGTGCCCCCCCAGCCAGCCAATCGGCTGGCTGGGGGGGCGTGGCCTGGGCTATTTAGGGCCGGCACGGAGGGGGCTCGCCCTCTCTCTGCCGGCTAGCCCTCACGTTTTTTCTTACCAGCTGATCGCTTTGGGAATCCTTCGCAGTTACCTCGTGGAGCGTTTTCAGGAGCACCTTTTTGTTTTTTCACTTTCTGGAGAGCCTTTTCACAGCAAGCCTTTGTCTTCATGGATCGGCTACTGCTGTTTACCTTTTAGAGCTGAAATCACTATCGGGAAATCCTTTTTCCTACTGCTGTTTACTTTTTAGAGCTGAAATCACTATCGGGAAATTCTTTTTCCTACTGCTGTTTACCTTTTGGAGCTGAAATCACTATTGGGAAATTCTTTTCCCCCTACCCGCTTGCGTGCCGCTGGGAGCCAGAGCTGAAATTGCTGGGTTTTTTCTATTGTGGGGGGGGGGCTTATTCTCGTAGGTCTCCTGCCGCTTGAGATCTGATCGCCCATCGCTTCTGCAAGCCTCCAGAACTGCGGGGGCTAACCAGCCACGCTTACATCGCAAGCCGGGGCGACTTTCTAGTATCCAAAGGCGGCAGCGGTAACGTACTGAAGAGTTGGGGGTATTTTGCCCGGGTGCTTGGGGGACCAGTGTGCTCTGAACGCAAAGGGGAGGTTTAGCAGATTGCTCAGGGCTGCAGCGCTAGCTTTTATTTCCTACTTTGGCGGCTTACTGAGGTTCCTTAGCAGGGGTCGCTCTAATCACTAGTTTCACGCTGCAGTATCCAATCGGTTGGGGGTTTTATTAACAGTGCCTGCTTTGTTTGGGGTTGGCTTGATTTCTGTTCAGCAGAAGGCGGCACCGTTGCCTAGCAACCTGTTGATTTCTTAGCCCACGTGATCCGGGCGCCATTTTAAAAACAACCACGTGGTCTGGCGACCGCCATTTTGCCATAGGCAACTACACGTGGGTCATTACTTTGCACAGGCTCACAGCTTTAGTTATCTGACGCAGCTAGGCTTACACAATACCGGCAGCACTGAAAGAGGCTGCCTTGACAAAGTTATTCATTGGCTGGATTATTAACTGAAGTGCTGCAAGAGTTTATGAGGCTTTTCTTTAAATATTTTTAGGGTTTATATTTTCCAATAAAACTTTTCATTTGGCTGTTTTACTTAAAGTTCTGAAGTGCCCCTAGGAGTTTGCCTTGCCAGAGCAATTCATTGATTGCAATTGTACTTTATTTAAATAAGCCTTTCTATATAAATTAGGTTAGATCTGTAATTTTTAAGGCTACATTTATCCGGCAATTTAATTCCTTTGCTTAATTAGCAAAGTGCTTAAGGGCTCCTGGGAGCTTTGCTTTGCTATTTAGGCTTGCTAAGTAGGTTTGCTGCATAAGTCAAGTTGTCCCTCTTGCTTTAACAAGTTTAGCTTCTGTTTATTGGTTAATTTGCAAAGTGCTTAAGGGCTCCTGGGAGCTTTGCTTTGCTACTTAGGTTTGCTAAGTAGGTTTGCTGCATAAGTCAAGTTATCCCTCTTGCTTTAACAGGTTTAGCTTCTGTATTTAGAAGTCAAGTGATCCCTCTTGCTTTAACAAGTTTAGCTTCTGTTTATTATATATTTAGCGGGCAATCAGTTTTAAGGGATTGGCATTAAGTAACAAGGAATAAAACGAATATATAAAATAATAAAATAAAAAATTGAATAAGTGGTAGAGGGCTACCCATAATTGGTTAAACGTTGGCTAAAGGTTGCAAGGCCCCTGGGGATAGCGCACGCCTTCCTCTATTGTCCTGGTTCTAATTACAGTTTATTTAAAATATAAATCCAGTAAAGTTCTAGTTAATTAATTAATTAAATATTAGGGAAGTCTGATTGTTTCCCCCTAAAACCAACTTGAGATTGCAGCAGTGCAGACAATACTGAACTCATGTCATACTGATTACAGCTAAATACAATTGGTTGGGTAGGTAATTTCTTTCCTTTCGGTTACTGATTTAAATTTTGCTGCACTGAATTTATTAAACCTAAAACCAGCTTGAGTTCGCAACAGTGCAGACAATACTGAACTTGTGTCATACTGATTACAGCTAAATACAATCGGTTGGGTAGGCAATTTCGGTTTCCAGTAAAAGCTTGCCAGTGCAGGCAATATTGAACTACAGCATTATTGCCTTCTGCTCACGCATATAGGCTGAGCTAGCGTCGCTGACTCTATTGAACCAGGTTAATCAAAAAGCCTTTATCGCAGCTATGTCGGCTCAAGAAAACCAGGTAAATTCTGCAGCAGCCGGGGGGGTGCAGGGGAACCAAGAGGAGTCCCAGCCCTTTGTTATACCAAGTAACCCGCTGGCTTTGGCGCAGTTTTTCAATGATTTTCAGGAGTTTTATAAGCAAAGGAGGTCCGCGGGCCAAGTGGCACCCACGCCAGGGGCAGCAGCACCGACAACAGTCGCAACAGGGACGTCAGCACCAACGGTGGTTGCACCAGCGGCAGCAGTGCCAGCGCCATCAGCATCAATGGTGTTCTCCCAGGAGTTTATCCCGGACACTCAACTTAATGAGGTGGTACTCCCAGGTACCTCCGCGTCCACTATGGCAGTGCTGAGCGTAGCCAAAGAGGCAACAGCCCGGCAAAAGAAGAGCACCCGTGCTCAGTCGGCCACCTCAGGCAAGTCGAAAGGAGGCCAGAAGGGTGGCAGGAAGGGTAAGGCTAGTACTCTAGGTACCTAAGGCTGCTAACCCACAAAAGGACCCAGGTGTCCCCAGTCTCTTTCAGATCCCACCCCCGCAAGCGGCACCAGCCGAGGGCGCATCAGAATCCACTTCGGAAGAGGAATTGCGGGGTCTGCAGGCGGTACAGGTGAACAGCGTACTGGATCAAGCCGCGCCGGAGGTCCTCTCTGGGAAGAGGAAGGAGAAGAGAAAACACACATCAAAGAAGAGTAAGAAGAGCAGGCGGTCGGAATCGGAGGATGATTCAGGTACCTCTTCTTCTTCTGACTCAGATAGTGATGTTTCTAGGGAGGAATACTGGGGCCATGGGGAAGACTGCGTCGGTCTCCCTTCATGGGCTCATGAAAGGAGGGCCAATTCCTACCGTAAGTCCTTTAACGGGACCCTTGAATGGAAGGATGGCTCGCTAGTGCCGGACGTTAAAACTTCCACTCACCTATCTACGGACTTCATTGTGGGTAACCATTTATCTCAGAGGAAGAGGGACAAGATCCTTAATGGGGACTTTATTGATATGTTCAGATTGTTGCCTCCTGCTAAGATGACAGGTAAAGGAGAAAAGAGGCGCAGCCATGGAAAACGCAGGTACAGAGCACCCAGAGTTGAGCGCACTTTTGACCATTGGCTGGATGGGTTCCAGGTATTTATGGGTGTCGTCAGCGCCGCTTATCCGAAACGGGCGATGCATTTAGTCGCCTACATGGCCCATGTGAGGAGGGCTAGGGATCTAGCGGGGGATACTGCCGCGCTAAATTACGATGAGGATTTCCGCAGAAATGCGTCGCTGTTATCTTCCACTCGTTGGGATCTGAGGGACCAGAACTATTGGTCTGAGCACGTAGGCCCCTACGTAGACAGGAAGCCCCAGGACTCTTCAAAATCCTGGAAGACCGCTCCGAGACAGAGGCGACTGTGCTGGGAGTTCAATAAAGGGGTTTGTGTACGGACGGTCTGTAAGTACAGCCATGAATGTGAAAAATGCCTCGGTAACCACCCAGCCACTGCCTGCCTGAAAGGGAGGCAGCCCTTTCGGGGTGGGAGAGGTTCCTACAACCAGGGACCCAGGGGTGGCCAAGGAGCCCCTTCGGGACTTCAAGGGAACAGGCAGTAACTTCAATCTTGGCCTGGCCTTTTCCCCCGTCAAGTTGTCTCCGTTAAAAAAACTCTTGACGCTATATCCCAACAGGGCAGCAGCAGCGTATTTATGGGAAGGATTTAGTAACGGTTTTAGGATCCCTGTAGCTTTCCCCCCCAATTCAAGTGATCCACCAAACCAAAAATCAGTGAGGGAGATGCCCGAGGTTGCCCGAAAGAAGATTAGTAAAGAAATTAATGCAGGTAGGGTTGCTGGCCCCTTTTTAACTCCCCCAATAGAAGGCCTTCACATATCCCCGTTAGGTATAGTCCCTAAGAAAGCGCCTGGTGAGTTTCGCATGATTCACAACCTTTCCTACCCAAAGGGAGGGTCCGTCAATGATGCGATACCTCAGGAGCTCTGTACGGTTAAATATGCCACTTTTGACCAAGCGGTCAAGCTTATTCGCAAATTCGGCAAGGGCGCGCTTTTGGCAAAATGCGACATTGAATCGGCCTTTAGACTCTTGCCAGTTCATCCGGAAGATTTCCGGTGGCTGGGATTCAAATTTGAAGGGGTTTATTTTGTGGACAAAGCAATGCCCATGGGTTGCTCAGTCGCCTGTGCAGCCTTTGAGGCATTCAGCACCTTCCTGGACTGGGCGCTTCGCTTTAGAACTGGATCTGAGGGCGTGTCGCACTACCTGGATGACTTTATCCTCGTCGCCAATAGCAGGCGTAAGTGCTCAGAGCTCCTTGAGGCCTTTACATCATTAGCTAGGGAGTTGGGGGTTCCCTTAGCCGCTGACAAAACAGAGGGTCCAGCTACAACCATGGTTTACTTGGGTATTGAATTGGACACGGTCGCTCAGACCTCAAAACTGCCCAGAGAGAAGCTGATTACGCTTGGTGACCTCATTCGGCAGCTCCTCCCCCTGAGAAAGGTAACACTAAGACAGATACAGTCACTGCTAGGCCATTTAAACTTTGCTTGCCGTGTGGTTTCCCCTGGCCGTCCATTTTGTGGCCGCCTCGCGAGGCTAGCAGCCGGCCTGCGATCTCCCCATCATAGGGTTCGCTTATCTAAGGAGGTAAAATCTGACTTAGAAGTCTGGTTGAAATTTCTGGAGAACTACAACGGTATTTCCTTGTGGCAGGAGAACTTGTTGCTGCAAGTGGACTTCCAGGTTCATTCAGATGCTTCAGGCTCCTTAGGGTTTGGCGTTTACTTTAAGGGGCAATGGTGTGCCCAACGTTGGCCGTCAGCGTGGCAAGGGACCCCCATAACCAGAGATTTAACCTTCCTAGAATTCTTTCCGATTGTTGTCGCAGTGCACTTGTGGGCTGAAGTCTTTAGTAACCATAGGGTTTGCTTCCACACTGACAACCAAGCAGTGGTAGGAGTCCTTTCCAGGCAGGCCGCGCGGTCATCAAGAGTAGGTGCTCTTCTCCGCTCCTTCGTTCTCAGGTGTCTAGAACTTAACATCCACTTCTCCGCCAAATTTGTGCCTGGCGTGAACAATGATATCGCGGATGCCCTATCTCGTTTTCAGATGGACCGCTTCCGCTCGTTAGCACCGGAGGCTCAGCCGCTTCCTCAGCCGTTCCCGGAACATCTGTGGAGACTTGGGGACCAGAGTCATGGGAACCAGAAGTGATTCAGGGAGTATTAGCCTCATTGGCTCCGTCCACTTTAAGATCTTATAAGAAGGCGTGGTCGGATTTCCTTAATTTCTGTAATAAATCCCGCGCCGGCAGGAGCAACGCCCCCCCCGGCAAGTCCGAGGTTTTATCATACTTGGTATACTTAAGACGTTTGGGCCGCGCCCCTAGAACTATCAACCTTCAGGCAGCGGCAATATCATTCTTTTGCAAGATGGTATTTTCCTCTGATCCATGCGCTGATTTCGTCATACGAAGGACCCTAGAGGGCTGGTGCAGGCTGCAGCCCCCGAGCCATGACTTAAGGTGGCCAATATCATTCGACATCCTTTTCCAAATTCACAAAAAGCTGAGAACGGTTTGTTGGTCGAAGTATGAGGCTTGCTTATTTTCAGCGGCATACTCTATCGCCTTCTTCGGTGCGATGCGTGTGGGTGAGGTGGTTTACGAAGAGGGTCAGCGCGGCTCTTCCCGGGGGTTGCTACTGAGCGACCTTACGCTCTCTAGGGAGGATCTAGTATTACGAATACGTAGCTCCAAAACAGACCAGTACGGGAGGGGGGCCCTGGTTCGGCTTCTGGCAACCGGAGAACCAGGCCCGTGCCCTGTTAAGGACACCAGGCGCTTCTTAGATCTGAGGACCAATTCAGCAGGGCCTTTCTTTATCCACGCAGATGGCTTACCCCTGACGCGTCAACAGTTCACGCGGGTTATGCGCTCAGCGCTGGCTGCATGTGGCCTTCCCCCTGCAGATTTCGCGGCGCACTCGTTTAGAATAGGAGCGGCCACCACAGCAGTGCACCTGGGCCTTACTACGGAGAGGGTTAAGGACTTAGGCCGCTGGAAATCGGACGCTTACAAACGCTACGTTAGAGGAAATCTGTGACGGTTCAACTGGGGTCAATTGACCATGGCCTGTTCTTTTAATCTCTTGCAGGTGTTATGGGGGTCCGCGTCTGGATATTCGGGCACAGCATTGTGCATTGGGCCAGGGTCCGCGCCATCAATTCCGGTCTCGGGCCACGCCTCGGCTTACCGTCTGGCATCACTTTATCCTGGGTTGCGCGAAGGGGAATGCGCTGGGCTGAGATGTTGCCCGCATTTAAGACCAGAGCAGCAGCGGAGGGCCCCCCGGATGCTTTGCTGATACAATTGGGAGAAAATGACCTTGCTTACAGGAAGGCAGTTGACTTGCAGTGGCACATTTTCAGTGACTTTGAGGAGCTTAAGGCCTCTTACCCGGACATGACAATCATTTGGGCCTCTTTGATGGAGAGGCGGGTCTGGAGGGACTGCAGGTGCCCGATAGCCATGAATAAGGCGAGGAAAGCCTTGGATCGGGCGGTGGTGCGTAGAGTGGCAGCCCTGGGTGGGAAGGTCATTGAACACCCGGGCATTCGTTTCAACTGTGAGGCCCTCTACCGGTTTGATGGCGTGCATCTTTCCGATGCTGGAAATGATGTTTGGCTGTGCGACATAGCGAAGGGGATAAGGGATTGGTTTCAGGCATGAGAGTATTGGCGGCGAGCGATTGCTCGTGTGGCGGTAGGCATTGGTAAGAAGGGGTTAAGAGGATGTGTGTGTGGGGGGGAGCGCCATCACCTCCCCCCAGTGAACGAAGGGTGGTCCGTTAAAGGACTCCGGGGGGCGTGGCCCTGTCCGAAGCCTATGGAGGTGAGGGCCAAAGGCACGCCCCAGAGCGGTGACCCGGGGAGCTCCTAGTCGACGTGCCTCGGCAGGAGACTCCCAGATATAGTGTTAACCCTTCCCCGTGTCTCCAGCAAATGGGCTGGAGCCGGATAGTCGATAGGACCAATGCCTAAGCCAATGCCTCTCATTCCTGAACTCAATAAAGTTGTGGCCTAATTCGCCCAATTAACCTTAAATTATGGTGTCTGGTGTCTTTATTTATCCTGGTGGGGGGCGGGAACTCGCCACGCAAAGCCACTTCCGGCTTGCCCAGGAGGTGGGGTTGCGGGCTTCACGCCCACCCACGTGAGCGGGGGCTGGTTTCAGTCCCCGCGAGAACAGGGGAATCCCGGCCGGGTGTGCCCCCCCAGCCAGCCAATCGGCTGGCTGGGGGGGCGTGGCCTGGGCTATTTAGGGCCGGCACGGAGGGGGCTCACCCTCTCTCTGCCGGCTAGCCCTCACATTTTTTCCCACCCTCCCTCCCTCTAGGTAGGTTTTAGGCAGGTTTCTGACTTTGCTATGGACTTCGGTCTGTCGCCGCAAGGGGCATGGTAGGAATTTTTCCCAATTGGCAATTTACAGCCTTTTGGTTTTTCGCCTACCTCGTAGCAACTCGTCACAACTCTTCGGCATTGGCGGTAGGCATTGGTAAGGCGGTAGGCATTGGTAAGAAGGGGTTAAGAGGATGTGTGTGGGGGGGAGGAGCGCCATCACCTCCCCCCAGTGAACGAAGGGTGGTCCGTTAAAGGACTCCAGGGGGCGTGGCCCTGTCCGAAGCCTATGGAGGTGTGGGCCAAAGGCACGCCCCAGAGCGGTGACCCGGGGAGCTCCTAGTTGACGTGCCTCGGCAGGAGACTCCCCGATATAGTGTTAACCCTTCCCCGTGTCTCCAGCAAATGGGCTGGAGCCGGATAGTCGATAGGACCAATGCCTAAGCCAATGCCTCTCATTCCTGAACTCAATAAAGTTGTGGCCTAATTCGCCCAATTAACCTTAAATTATGGTGTCTGGTGTCTTTATTTATCCTGGTGGGGGGCGGGAACTCGCCACGCAAATTCCTGCATAAGAAAGTCAGTCAGGTTGTCTTTCTCAAGTTCAGGTATGGCCCTGATCCTCAAATTCGTTTGTTTCTACTTCAATTCAATCATAGACAATATTGACCTGTGGTCTTCAAGTTGTCTATGTATCGGTGGTATCTTCTCTTCTACAGCAACTGCTATTTCCTTTGCTTCTTCAGCTGTCTTTCGGGTCAAAGTAGATTCCTGTAGCAATTTCTCAATAGTTTCTGTGTTAGTATTTACCTTCTGTCCCAAATTGTTGATACTTGTGGTATTTTGATCAATTTTAACTGATGCTTCAGCTACTTGTTTACTTAGTTTTTCCAAAGATTCATTAATTTTGCCTAATGCCTGAGCTAAAACATCTTCGGATGCCATTCCTTTGGGTTTGGATTGTACCAATGCAGCCCCTGTTAATGAGCCAGAAGGGCCAGATGTTGATGCTCTTCGCTGCAGCCCAGCGTCTGGGCGAAATGATCTACCAGACCTCGTTGTTTTTTCCTGAAGCAAATCTATTTTCTCTTTTCCATTTGCCATAACACTCTAGATAAGGCCCAAGGTCAGTCCCACGACCAGAATTTGTTTTGAAGTGGAAAATTCCCCTGGCCCAGTTGTTATTGTAACAATTTCAAACTTCCTCTAGGGGGACACAATAACAGTCAGAAGTTGTTGCCTTAAAATAAATAACCTTTTTTCTTTTAATCCCCCAATTCACAAAAAAGACGACAGTTTCAATTTCAGTTATTTTCTAGTTACTTTAAAACCAGGAGAAGCCAGCCAGAAATATTGTATCTCACTTGTATCTCGCTTGCAGAGTTAGCTGTCAAAAAGTACTTTCACCAACAGCGCATTTCACAGTACGGCATTCTTATTATTCATTGGCAGCCCGTTCCCATGTTTTAAGCGGTGGATTTTAGCTTCCTTTTCTCTCTTTTTGCAGGGAAATATAGTTCAGACCTTTCCCCCCTCCTCTCCTGCAGTCAAGGGGGGAAATCGCTTGTTTTGATGTTAGAATTATAGTCCTTTTCAGGCGTCTTTCAAGGTTTTAGCTTACAAGTTCATTGCTTTACTCTATTTACAAAGAACGGAAGGCAGACTTCCTGTTTGTGCCTCTCCGCTTCGGTATCAAATTACTTCTTTGTTCTCCTTTATTTCCCAAATTAACCTACTCACGGATAGTTGTTTTGTAGCCAAATTGTCACAGGAAAAAGGTAGCGCTCTCCGGTAACGGCTGTGCGGCTTCGCTCCACGGAAGAAGCAGTTGACTCACAGCACTGCTCCGCTTCCCCGCTTCACTCCGGAACCCGTAATCGGGCTCCTTTGCAAATTGGGGGGCGCAAAAGGTGCCCGCCGAGTCCCACGGTCACAGGCTTCACCCGCCTGTAATTTTTTTCAAGGGTCCCCGCTTCGCCGTAGCGGAACAGACCCGATTCCAGTAGAGCTGGTCCCTCCGGATCAGAGGGAGTCCGCCATTACCAATGGCGCCACCCCGGAAGTCTGTGTGGGAATGTTCAGGAGTGCAGGAGAGGATATATTGTGAGATTATATCCTAATCCAACTTGTGCTAACAAGTTTCCAAAATATCAGCAGAGTTTATAAACATTCCCTTTTAAGTTCGCAACGGTAACGTCTGCACAGGTTCGCGAGAACCTCTATAAAAATTACCCTGGTAATTTCCCCTTTTGTTCCCTCTTAAAATACAAGACACGACACAGTCTTTATAAAAGCATAAAAGAGTTTACTCACGTTCTCTTCACAATATGATCCCAGAAGGCAGACAGGCTTAAAAAGGTTACATACATTCAGAATCTATCTTATAGCAAGATAGTCCTTTCCTCCTCTCTTGGCTGAGAGCCAAGAGAGCATCTTTAGATGCTTCTTCTTCGAAAGAAAAATGGCAGAGAGAGAGAGATGGCTGCCTGCCCTGTGCTTTTATCATTTACCTGCACAGGTGAGGCCACACCCACCTCTGGTCACATGCGGAGGAAGTCCGTCCCCAGGAAGTTTACCTGCTTGCTGGACAGACATCCCTCCCCATGTTCTAACATGTACACTCTAGGAATGTTGTCATTGACTGCTCCTGTGTTTACATCCCACAATTTGGAAAACTCTGGAATGCTGAACTTGCCTTTTGCTTTCTTGCTCCTTCGTTCAGTGGGTAGGTAGGTTTAGGTAGGGGCAAGTCGAAAGCTTCCTTGAAATTCCTCAGCCCCAGCCAGCATTGCCAATGGGCAGGATGATGATAATTGTAGTTCAGCAACGTCTGGAAGGCCAGAGATTACCCTCACCTGTTTCATCGGTTAGTGTGCTAAGATCTGGGTACAAGCCCAATTCAGCT